GCTCAACTAGCAAGTAATCTGGTCCCTACTGAACATACTTCGTAAGGTTAAATGAAGAGCAAACGAAGATTAAGGACCGTGGTATTTCTGTTGTTTGGGCAGCAACATTTGTTTAAAATAGTTTATAATTAGAATCTAATATGGGCAGTAAAATAATCATTACACGAGTAAAAGAATATAAATAAATAAACAAATGAAATGAACATTACGCAGTGCAGTTGTCACTGAGTATCGCTGCGAACAGTATTTTGAAATTGTAAACTGACTAAGAAATCAGTAAGTGTGACGATGTATTTAAATAAAACGTACGAGTAGGCATATATTGAGCAACACATACGTTGAATAAGGTACATGATGTATTAAATACAATAAGTCGTGTTGGTGAAAGACTTGTGTAATTTTTGTAGTTTGAGAGTGTTTGGTAACTGGGTTCTGAGGACGACATTTGGACCTAAGAGATTGGAAGTGACAGGAGAATGGAGAAAACTGCGTAACGAAGAGATACATTATTTATTCTCATCAGCAAATATTATTAGGGTTATGAAATAAAGTAGGATGAAATGGGCGGGGCATGGAAGATATGAGAAACGCGTATAAAGTTTTAACCCGGAAAACCTTTAAAGGAAGAGGCTACTTGGAAGACCCAGGCTTTAATTTAAGGATACTATTAAAATGAATCGTAAGGTATTAGGGTGGGAGGTTTTCGATTACATTTATTTGATTCGCGTTAGAGTTAATGTAATGAATCTTGGCAGACCAGTAGTTTCTCAAGAACTCTTGTTCATGAAATTCGATCATGACGTAAATTCGTTTTGAGAACCGAACAGTCGTTAGGTAGTCAAGAAATTTGCCGTCGTTTAGGGAACCTTAAGGTTTTTTTTATTGTTTTCACAAGATTCCACTAGATTATAGTATCCTGGACGTCATGAACCCAGTCCATGTCCTCAGACTGTGTTCCTGTAGCGTCCTTTTTAATATTATGCTCCGAAGTTGTCTTTCCCGACTAAGATTCCATAAAGATGTCTGTCTTCTGGGATGGCCCACCGTGTATTAATACAGAGGTTTACAGACCTTTCAGAGGTGTTTACTACTTCCATCATCAGGGCGATGGTTTACCTTCCTTATAATTACATGTTATACGTGGAGTGTGGCCAGTCGGGTGACCTAGGGGAAGCCACGAAGCCATCTTTCTTTTACGGACTGGGCACTTCGATAGTTTGAATTTCCAATCAGCGAAACCAGCAGATGGTCATTATTTTGATTTGCTGTTACTTCGAAACGTGTCACTAACTGTTGACCCCCGAGGAAGGGGGTGAGGTCATAAGTCAGTGAGTGTCGGCAGAATGACCTTTGATCTGGCGATCCTGCACGTGAACTGTTGTCTGACCTCACAGTTTCTTGTTGAATTGTTAGGACGCGTCGGAAAGGCACGCTTTCAGCTAGCACCTGTTGTGGTTTGTGTTACGGAGCTCCGGTGACGATTTCTGTCTGTAGTTTACAAAACATGCATACGAACTGTTTACACTTTGAAGGACACTAATGCCAAACGCGTTTCGACCTCAAGAGGTCATCATCGGTGGCAAAAAAACAGGTTTTTGATTTGTATTTTATGAATTATCTTGTTTTTTGGGACTGGTGACCTCTTGAGGTCGAAACGCGTTTGGCATTAGTGTCCTTCAAAGTGTAAACAGTTCGTATGCATGTTTTGTATTCCAATACACTACACGGTATGCAAGATTTTAAGATTGTCTGTAGTTTGTTGTGGAAGTTTGAATTTTCAGTATCGTTGGAGTTTTTATGCAACCTGCTAATTAAAATATTGGCCTCACTGCCTCAGATTTATTATTCTCTTGCAGTTGGCTTTGGACACTATATTTACTATCAATTCGCCTGCTCGTAACATCTTCAGTTACCAGTGCACCGTCCCTTAAAATTTTTGGACTGAAATGGTACATACGTCCTCACATCTCCCTCTCGTGCTAAATGTCCCCGTCATCTAATCTCCTTGAAATTACAGAATTTTGAGGTAAAGACGCGTTAAAGCCTACCGCGTAGAACAACGCAGAAACTCATCTAAAGTTATTTGATAGTGGTAGTCAACGACTTTCAGTGTGTGGTCAACTTGACCTCGACCTTAAACTATGGAAATTATACAGGGTGAGTCAGAAGTATGTTTACAAACTTCGTGTGCGTGTTCCAGGATCAAAAATTAGAAAATAATGTACCTATGAACATGGGGTCGCAAATGTTTCATTTTCGAAATAATAGCCAAAAATAAGTTTCAATGTATGCCTTTATTGCCAAGTGTAAGGACAGGGATGTTTCTTTATAACAGATGCTCAAAGGTTGTTCCTCCATTCTCCACA